TTGGGTCTACTCGTTTACGGAACGAGTGACTTAATAAAGACTTAAGTTCTTTAATTTTGTATCATGCTAATGAGTCGCATCATATTTTGACACTCTTGGCCATTCGATGCATAAATAAGTTGTCATTCTTTGTTATTATAACAATTTCATGCGATTTCTTGTTGAGCTTTCGGATTTCTCATATTTTCACTCAAAAGAACATGACATGTAAAGTTTTATATTTTATATTTTATATTTTTTTATTTTACTATGTTCAAGATTAACAATCACAAATAAACCAACACATGAATAAAAAGCGGTACCATGGTGCTCTCCTTAAGGATAGCAGTGGATGTGTGTGACAATAAACTGTAAAATAGCTTAATGTACTACTTTATAAACAAACCAAACTCGAGCTTACTGAGTTTAGGGACATATTGCTCTGGTTAGGCTTGAATATCAGGTTTGTTTAAAAGTTTAGTCAATTTTATTTATTTGCTAACACGAGTAGAGTTTAACCGAGTCAAAATCAAGTTAAAACTAAATTTGATAGATCTGATCCAGGTTGAGCACATGAAACTTAACCCAACAAATGGACTTGGGTCATGTCCGTTTTGACGCATGGGCAACTTTAAAACTCACTTTGATGTAAATTTCATCAATGTAAAAGAGGTTTCGTGCCATGGCAGTGAGATAAGTGTTACATTATCATTCACAATCACTTATAGTCGTTCTATTTGTAAAAAAAATTATCAGAGACGAGATACTGTGTTTACGATCCTAGTTAGGAAAACTAGGAAAAAAAACAATTACGAATATTATATATTTCAAGAGCTAAATTACTTGTCGGGGAACTAGTAAAAACTACTCAATAAAAGGTAACGATCGTCAATTTTCCCTTTTATTTTTTGAATAAGGCTAAAAATGATAAGGTTGTGAATTTAAATTGAAAGATAATCACAAAAATAAGATATGTTACCAATCATTTTAAGTAAATTTTTGGGGCAATGGGGAAATCTTTTTTTATTTTCTCTCTCCTCATCCATGTAAGCTCTTGTTTAAGGGTGTTCACCTTATCCTACGGGTAAGAAATATAGTCTTCCGTCTTCCTACCTGATACTTTGCGGAAGAATTTTTTCTTGACCTACCTGATTAATCGGGTAAAAAGTCGGGTAAACACTTTTGTAACTATTAATTTTTGGATAATTCAATTAAATAATATCAATTTAACAACACAATAAATCAATAACACTAAAAATATAAAACAACTATAACAAGAAACACATTAAAATCATAACTGTTCCAATAGATCACCAGTTTACCACAAATCATGTAACCTACACAAAAAATTAGTTCATGCTTTTGCTACTCAAACATCTACAACAATAACAATGTTATAATATAAATTATACCACATAAATACTCTTATAATCACTAAAAAAATATTTAAAAAAGATAAATATATTTTTTGCGGATAGGGTAGGATAGAAATATAAAAATTGATAGGTATTCCACATTCCTATCTGATTTAATTAAAAAATCAAAATTTTTTTCACATTCCTACTTAATTTTTACGACTAACCGTTCAATAGAATAGGATAAGATAAGATATAATAAAAAATTACAGCCAATCTAAAATTTGAACTAATCAAAAATTTGAAAATCCTGCTCTTCTTAAAATGGATCTTCATTGGGCATAGGAAGGATCTTTTGAGACACAAGTGGACAGATTCAAGTGCAGGGCATCTTCAAAAATTATATAGTTTTTAAAACCCAGTCCAGTCATGAGTCAACTGACCTTTATCAAGCTATGGTCACTATCCCAAGGATAAAATAGAGTGGTGGATTGGGCTATGACTATTTTNCAGTCATGAGTCAACTGACCTTTATCAAGCTATGGTCACTATCCCAAGGATAAAATAGAGTGGTGGATTGGGCTATGACTATTTTGTTCATTCTCTCTCTCTAAATTTAAATAATATTATTTTAATAAAAAATATGAATTATATATAATTAAATTAAATAATAAATTATATGCTGAATAATTAATTCAAATTTTAATTATTATTTATTTTATTAAATTAATTAATTAGATAATTTATAATATTATTATATTATTACATATCAAAAAATAAAATATAACATATATTACACCGTGAAATTCAATTTAATAACTACATATGTATAATAATTTAACATATATAAATCTTTATTTCTTCATATAACTATAAGTAAATATAGGTAACTGTGATGAAAAGATTGTAGCTCAGGTAAACTTGTAAAAATTTCGTATAATATTTATCCAAACTCCAGAACATATTCAGCGAGGAAACAAGATAAACATTTCCAAGTAACTTCCCAAACAATTATCTTTCCACTGGCCCAAAAACCATTCCCAAAACAGAAAAAGACTCCAAGAAAACTGTGAAATCAAGCTGAATTTACAAAACTGAAATAGGGTAGTGTTTGTTCAAAGTTCAGAGAGGTACTGAACACTCATCTGAAGCAAACAACTGTGAATCTGATAGGGAAGACTTTGAGTCGAGGGACTGAAGTGCTCTCACAACTTCAGACATTGATGGCCGTTTTTCTGGCATTACAGAAGTGCAATGCAGTGCGATTTCTAGAGCTTCCAACATCTCTTGTTGAGAGGAATTTGAAATCTTGGAGTCGAGAACTTGCAATGCCCCGTTAGTGATATTGATTTTTCTTCTTACCGACTTCACAACATCAAGAGAGTCGACTGATCCAGTTTCCTCTGCTTGCCGTCCTGTCACAAGCTCTAACAAGACAACCCCGAAGCTGTATGTGTCCATTTGTTCAGTGGCTTTTTTGCAGTGCCCATATTCTGTAGTAAAAAACAATACTAATGAGAGATTTGCATCCAGTCACATACGAAGAACTATAGTTGGGCGTTTCAAAAGAGGTCAAAAGGAAAAATGATTTCAGTGATCCTATACTAGAGGAGATTCACATGACAAAATATAATGACTCGTGTAACAATAATTTTGGCCCATGTTCCTCGAATCATTCATGAAAAAATAACTGCTTAGCAAGAAATCTACGGTAAACAATGTATAAAGTTCTATAACATTTCCACACCTGGTGCAATGTAGCAAGAGAAGGCAGATTCTGAAGCCAAGGATGATTGAAATGCAGTTTCTCCAACAATGCGATCCAGAGCAAAATCTGTGAGCTTTGGTTCAAAATCCGCATCCAAAAGAATATTCTTAGACTTAACATTTCTATGAAGTAAATGTGGAACATAGTCCTTGTGAAGATATGCAAGTCCTTGAGCAACCCCAATGGCAATCTTCAACCTTACACTCCATGGCAACTGAAAATCAGGTCTGGCAATCAAATCCCCAAGGCTGCCTTTTTGTAAACATTCATAAATCAGAAAGATTGAATCGTTACAATGGCAGAATCCAAGAATTTTAACGATGTTCTTATGCCTGATCTTGGCTAATATCTTAACCTCAGCCTTCAAAGATTTTGAAGTCTGACTTCCAAAGTTTAGTATCTTCTTGACAGCAACAAGTTCACCACTTGGCAAGTTTACAATGTAGAATCTTCCAAAAGCTCCACCACTTCCTATAGCAGTTTTTTCATCCATTACCATGATCAAATCATGCTCAGTAACTCTAAGTGGATAAAAGAATACTGATCTCCAAATACCCATCCGTGATTTGCGCTTCGAAGATTGACGTATCACATAGAACCCAACAGCAACAATTACAATTGCAACTGCTAGAGCTATAGAGATCAGGACACGTGCCATTTTTGACAGACCAGCCATCTGGTGACTTTGCTGGTCATCTGAACAAGAATGGGGTAATCCCGGGCCACATAAGTCCGGATTTCCTTGCAAAAACGAAGCAGGAAGGCCCGAGATTAATGTGAATGGAACCTTACCAGAGAGCCGATTGAAGGACACATTGAAGAGAGCCAGCTTCAAGTTTTGAAGGTCTGGTGGGATTGCACCAGTGAGATTATTTTGGGAAAGATCGAGATAAGTTAGCACTGGCAATACAGCAAGAGATTGTGGTATTTCACCCACAAAATTGTTGTCTGCTAGAGACAATGAGACTAGTTTCCTACATTTTCTCAGCTCTGGAATTCCACCAGAAAAGTGATTGTGGGAGAGGTTTATGATACTCATGACGGGCGAATCACAAAAATTTGGAGGAAGCTCACCATATAAACCATTGATAGATGCAGAAAATCTATATAAGCTTGTAAGTAATCCAAGACTCCGAGGAATTTTACTAATGAAACTGTTGTTATCAATCTGAACTTGTTCCAATTGAGCTGCCATTGAAATAGAATCAGGTATTTCTCCAGAAAATCTATTGTTTTCTGCTCTGATGAGCTTAATTTTAGGTAATGTCCATAACCCATCAGGGAAATCCCCAGAAAACATATTGTTCTGAACTTGAAACCTCTCAAGATTCATGCACTCATTGGAGTTAATGGTTATTGACCCATTAAAGGAATTTGTATGGAGGCTAAGATTTATAAGGGCCTTAGCTCCACATACACCAATTGGGAATGACCCAGAAAGCTTGTTCTCTGAAACATCAAAAGACACTAAGTTTGGGAGAGACAACCCAATCTGAGGTACCCAACCAGTGAGATTGTTCTGAGAAAGGTCTAAAGTGTACAAGCTCTTTAAACCCTCAAAAAAATCAGGTATTTCTCCATAAAAACCAGAGCTTTGTAACAAAAGGTCTTCAAGCTTAT